CTCAGTAGATTTCTAGTAGCAACAGCCAGTTTTCCATGACTTCTTTTGACTTGGAAGTGACCATGATGTGAACTTTTGCTAAGCCACCTCATTCCCTCAGTGCTCCTTTAACTCTGTAAGTCCCCAAGGAACATCTGCAGCTTTGCCCTTCCAGTTCTTTACTCACCTGTGCTTTACATGATAAAACTGTTCAATCTCAGCCCGGTTGGTAGTTGCTGTATGATGTAACTACAGGTATATCAATTACTATGTAATACTCTGTTTCCAGTAATGCAAACGCTTGTAATTACTTGAATAAGTTTTATTTGAACTATGGATACTTTTTTTACACTTTAAGGAATATTTAAATGGAAACCTGATTGCATTTTCTGCTATATCTTATCTTAAGTCAAGGCTCGTGTACAAAATCCAAAGCTGTCTTATCCCTACTACTTGGTTATTTTTCTACATTGGGAATGTAACTTCTTGTTACAAACTTCTGCATTGTTGGATATTTTCTATCCTTTTATAGTCCCTTTCCTTTCCATCTCAGTGCTACTCTTGGGTCTGATTTGTAACCAATGTAATCTGCATTATATACTGTCCTAAACCAGAGCCTGGGCAGAGAGATGACATAGCAGGAGACTGTCTTAATTTGTCTTTGAAGCACTACAGTACTTTCTTTTTGAGTCTGTTTAAATAGGTGTGCCCTGAAATGCATCTTATACAGCCACTCTGGATAAGCAATATATTGTACTGTATATATAGCAGTTTCTGTCACAACCTGGAGTTAAAATGTCTGGATGGTAACTAGTGCCTGTCTAATATACATTGGAATGACCATAGGCTTTCCTCCTAAGGTGCTGTTTCAAAAGAATTATTTCCTGTTTTGATTCTGGGAAATTGTGAAATAATAGTGGACAAAATGTTGCTATGCTACATTGAGATCCAAACAGTGGGTTTTGGTTTCTCTGTAAAGGATGTCCATAAAACTCATGGGGTTTGGTTTTCAATGTCATTGTAAATAGGTGAAACTGTACGTGTCATTGTGTTTGGAACTGAATTCCACCACTGAAATCAGTGGTGATCCCTGGGGCTGAGAGGGAGGGAGAGGAGATGCAGCCAGGTGCCACTAGTTTGCCCTGACTGAAATTAGTGACTGGTGTGAATGGCAGCCTGGCTGAGGGGTGGGAAGGAATGAAAACTGACGGGATCGGCGTTGGCCTCACCCGGGAATGACTGAATAAATGCAATAAAAGGCTCAAAGTCAACACTGTTCCTTTGTTCATCACTTATTACAGATTTTTTGTTATAAATTTGAGTACAAGAATTATATAATTTGTAAAATGACACTGTAGTGGAGACCTTGGTACAACACTATTAAAAATCCTCCCTGTTTGTGAGATCTGAGGTTTGTAGAATAGTGAAATTCTTTCGTATGTTGAATCTTGGTCTGTTCCTGATGGTGGGAGTGCTGGGCTAATGTATCTCACTGTGAGCTGGGTCTTGGCTATTTGCATAACATGGCAGTTCTGTACATTCTTCTGGCTAATTGTAAATATAAATGTTTCATAATAGCTTAGTTGCATTTTTGAGGTACAGCCATTTGTGTGAGATTAGAAAAAACTTTATTTCTAAGAACTTGTAAAAAAAAAAAAAGTATTTTCAATAAAATTCCCTACCTCACCTCTATTGTGCAGAAATGATCCCATTTTCCTATGTTGAATTTCTACAAAGTTGGAAACACAAAGGTCCTCTTTCAGTTATTGGCTAAACATTGCTGGTTTTCATCAAATCAGTCAAATAACAGACTGCTTGAAAGTCTGAAGTCTCATTTGTTTCCTTTGCTCCCATTCCATTGTGGTGATCAGGTATTTGGTACCTGAAAAGCAAGTTCTAGAACTGTTATGCCATCTCCAGCTGCTTCCTCCCTGTGCCCTGGGGACCAGAGCTTGGACCCTGGAGTTGTGTAGGGGCTGGCCAGGCTTCAGGGGAGGGTTATTATTTTTCTTTTTAGCAGTAAGGGGGGTGGGTGACAGTTGTACACCAAGCATCTCTCTGACCTTAAGGGGGGGAAGGGTTCCCAAGCCTTGTTTTGCAGGGAAGGGAATTGGACAAACACTTTGCTTTCTTTAGTTGGGATGTAAATGCACATTCCCATAATCAGTTCCAAAAATAAATGTCTTCAAAGACTTGGAAGTTATGCCAAACTGAACTAGCTAATTAATTCCTCCTTCCTCTGAAATGCCTAACTTCTTACACCTTTAAAAAAGTAGATCACTAGTGCCAGGAGTGTTCTCTCCAGTTGCTGCTGGGAATTACTTTCTCTGGCTCCTGACATGGAGCAAACCCAAATCCAGTTTTTAACCTTAGATCTTTCAGTAGCTGGGTTTGATTCCTCTGCGTTCCTGCACCTATAATGGCAACATTTTCCTTGCCATAGTTCAGAGATTGTGTTCTTTGACAACATCTGTAAAATTTCTGAGGCTGTCCCATGGTGCAGGTCCCTGGGAGAAGGGAAAAGAAGGGGAGAAAAGGCACTGGACTGTGTGTACTGGAGGCCCTTCCTCAGGAGAACTCTTGTTCTCTTTTGCTTTTTTGCAAGAACCAGAGATTTCACAGGAGAGGTGGAGAAATGGCATCAGTTCCTGCTTAGCTCTGTGAAAAAGCACTGATTTTGAACCCAAATAATCTCAAGAGACTGTGGGTTTTCTAGGCTCAGTGTCTGCTTCTTTGGAAGGAGAAGTAGACATATTTTTAGATGCAAATTTTTACATCCTATTGCTGTTGGTAGTTCCAAGACCAGTGTAAAATAGGTGGTTGGCATTCCTAAGGACCCTCCCTTCTCCTGAGATGTGAGCAGTGGCTCAGAGCTTCAGATATTACTGTGTGAAAGGACTAGCAAGTACCCTGCAATGATACAAGAACAGTGTGTTTTCAGGCTCTCTGATTTAAACCCCAGATCTATAGGAAACCTGGAGTCACAGCAAAGCCCTCCCCCCTTGTGCTTGGCAGCCTGGCATGAGTTGTAATGGGCTCTTACTGGTTTCAGATTTAAACCAGTAAGACTTGCCCTGCTTGAGTACTATAATTAAGCAAGTGTCACCCTCCTCCCTGAGTCACTTCTCATGGAATATACAGTTTTCAAGATTTTGCACCCTTTCTCTTGACTACCTTAGACACCTTAATTAAGCATCTGGATTTGGATGTGAAAATCTGTGATCTCCTCGAGTAAGAAATAGCAAAGTTAGACTTGTTTCAAGAATGTCCCACTAGACTGGCTCAGCTGAGTGACCCAAGACTCCCCAACCCATGTCCTGCTTGGTTTAGCTGTGCTGTGCCCTGGGCTGGGCTGCAGGCACATCCCCACCATCTCCAGCAGATTAGGCTGAAATACTTTGTTGCAAGTGCTGGCCTTAAAGTGCCACCTCCTTCTCAACATCTGGTTAAGCAAAAGCAAAAATGTGCTTTCACATTTTGATTAAAGGCTCGGGTTCAAGTTTTACATACCTCTAAGTTCCAACCTAATTTTAGTGTAATTAGCTGGATTAAACATGACACTTAAATTACAAATAACTAATAACCTTAATATTGGAGAGCGCTAACAAGAGACATCAGTTTTGCTTATAAGTCATGTGCATAAGGAAGAGGATTTATAATGCTGACATTTTATTAATTAACTATATATTCTAGAGCATTCCCATTCTTCCCCACTTATATCTGTCATCTCAGCTTCATTTCATGCTAAATAAAACCTCACATTTACTTTGCAGCTTTGCTGGAGACACTACATTAATCTGAGAAGAATTAATGCACATCATGGAATTATGTACATCCCACCTGAGTTCCTATGCCAGGGCTCCCACCTTTACTCTGCAAAGTCCTTAAATGTGAAGATCCTTTAACATGATGTTGCCATGGATTCCTGGCATGAGCACCAACCTGTATTCCTCAAAATGGGACTGTTAACTGCTTGAACTTGGAAGATTACTGTGATGTTGGGATTTCTCTTATACTGGCATTATGTTCTGTCATTGTTATGTGACATTATACCTACAGAAACTATCAATAAAGGATTTTGCTAGAAGTACTGGTTTCTCTTTGCTTCTATAAAGTTTAGACCAACTCTCTGAAATCAGGCGACTGGCATTAAGCAAAGCTTGAAAGCTATTTGTGAAACTAAAGTGTTTAGCACCCTGAGGAAGTTAGAACTTCCTTCTTTCCCTTTTGTAAAACACTAATTTTCACGTTACTGCTGGCACTGAAGTCAGTGCCTTGAATCCTTGAGAGCTCAGCTCTGAACAGTTGTAGGGCTGAGTTTTACTGCATCTCTTCCTGGAGCCTGGGTGCTCAAAAAGGCTTAAAGTTTATCCCATTTTGATTGGAAGAAATCTTACCAGAAACAGGACATTTTAAATACTAATACCTGCTTTTTCACTTTGGTTTATTACTATATAACTGTACTTTTTAATTTTATTTAATTCTGTGCAGTTAGTAGTAGCTACTTCTACTAATTGTTACAATTACTTTTGCAGTGCAGATGGAGACTGTCACATGTCATCTAATCATAGAGTGCTCACTTCAAGTGTTTTGAGAAACAGTTCAAGTTTCCAGTGTGTATCAATTCCCCATGAGGACAGGAAGGAACACAAAGCCAGACCCTTCAGTGTTACCAGTGACAAGAGACATGAGGCACAACTTGACCTACAAGACAGTCTGTTCAAACATAAAATCCTTTTTACCTTGAGGGTGGTGGAAGGCTGGAGCCTGTTTAATCAAAGGCCTAAGACCCCTTGTACACAACTATTCTCCAGTATTTCCGCTGTCCCTTAAAAGTCCAGTTCCTTCTGGCCTCTTTTCACAAGTGGAAATCTTTTATATGGAAAATGGATACTCACTTGGCAAGAGTTTTGAAAAATTCACTGTCTTCCTTTCACAAAGGGATGGTCCAGCAACTGCAGAGCAGAAGGACGTTCATGTTGATCTCTGCATTGAAAGTTTCAAAAATCAGGACATAAAATTAGTATTGTGCCTCTGAGGGAATCATAAAATCTAAATGCAAAATTAGCCTTTTTTTTCCTTATTTCTCCAGTCGCTACTCGTTTTTAGGGTTTTTTGATAAAGCTGGTAGAAAGGAAGGGAGGCTTCAGGGGAAAAGACTGTTGGAATTTATGAATCATAAAACTGAAATATTTTATTCTTAAAGAAATCAGTCTCTATTCCTCCAAATTCCTTGCAGAGCTTTGAATAATTCTGCTAATTTGGCTGTTTCAGGTTCACCAAAAAATGCATTTAAGAAGAGTGGTAATTATTTGTTCGATCCTCCATCAGTCAGGCTGTTCTGTCATCTCCAGTCAATGTCATGCATGTTAAGGAGCCCATAGGTTGCCCAAAGAAGCTGTGGATATGTCATCCCTGGAATTGTTAAAGGCTGGATGGGGCCCTGAACAATTGCCCGTGGTTTAGTGGGTGGAGCCCCTGCCCATGGCACAGAGTTGGAACTAGATGGTCTTTGTGGTCCCTTCCAACCCAAGCCATTCTATGATTTCTATGGAATTACAGGACAGTAATTACAATATTGGCTTGCTAGAGCCAAGGGCTTTGGGCTTTTTCAACCCGCAATTTGGAAGGAAAAAAACCAGGGAAAGGAATAAAGGGCACCAATTCCTCAAATAATAAACTAATGGGGAATATGGGATAAGGGAGGCATTTATATTTAGGACATGGTGAGATCATACACTAAGTTTTTGTCACCACAGGTGCCTCCAGACTTTTGAAAAGCTAAATGCTGTATGTTTCCCTCTACCTAAAAATTCCTTCTCCCTTTTAAACCCTCTTCTCTCTGAATCAAAGTATATATGATGTCACTATATACAGCCCACAATTTTTCTTATTGTTATGTGGTGCACAGGAACCAGAACCATTCCCTAACAATTCTAATCCAAGGATTAGAAATCAGGTTTCCTGCCCCCAATACCACTGCCATGCCCACCAAATTACATGCTTCTCTCTTGTACTCAAATCTGATCTTTAGAGATATGTAAAAGACTGCTCCTAATTTTATAAAAACTACACAGAGGTCAGGAACTTAGCTCTTGAAACTGATAGTCCATTTAAACATTGGGACACAGCTGATATTTTAAACAAAACAAACACCACAAAAATAATTCTTATAATGGGTGGATGCTAGTGGTTTGGGGTTGTTATATAGAGAACTTTATGTTTCTAATAAAGATTGTGTTTCAAGTATTTCCTGGACTGGCAGTGATAATAGATTTTTCCACTGCAGAAGATAAGAATTAATTGAAAGCCCTTTCATTTAGAATATTGTCCTCAAAAAACTTGTCTGACATAAGCCAAACTCAAGCAATACTGGATCAGCAAAACACATCAAAGAAATTTATCAAACATTTTGTCTAAAACTCAGTGGTGTTTCTACATGAAAATTACAGAAAAGTAAATGATGAGTGTAAGGCCTACAAAAAGAGAATTTGTGAGGGTTTTTCTATACCATTATAGAGAGTAAAGCTCTTTTATATATACTGTTATTTAGAGGCTTTCTTGAAATGCTGAGAAGCCTAAGCATTTAGAAAAGAGAGGTATATTATAAGATGTAACCCAAGCTCCTACCAACAATCTCTACAATCCAAACTGTCTGCATTCTTCCTTTCATTTCCCAGTTAAGGTTCTCCACACCTGGTTAAGCAGGCACGCACAAAATCCACAGCAGCGCTGGAGAATCCCTCGGGAAGGGAAGGCATCAGCCCCCTGTGGGCCCCGATGTAGAACATGGCTGCAATCCTGCCCATGGAAGCCAGGGGCGGCTTTCCTGTTGCCATCTCAAACACGGTGCAGCCGACGCTCCAGATGTCTGATTTCCTCCCGTATCCCGACTCGCTGATCACCTCCGGGGCCATCCAGTAGGGAGTGCCGTGCACGGAGCGCAGCGTCTCGCTCCGGGTGCCGCCGGGGCTGAGCCAGGCCAAGCGCCTGGCACAGCCAAAGTCAATGAGCTTCACCGTCCCGCTGGGCATGAGCATCACGTTGTTGCCCTTGATGTCTCTGTGCACCACAGAGTTGGCGTGTAAATAGGCAACCCCCTGCAGAATTTGCCTGGTGTACCTGCAAAGGACAACTTCTGGCAACGGGCCAAAGCGATTGATAACACTGGAAATGGAGCCGCCAGGAACAAACTCCATGAAAATGCTTAAAATGTTGTGTTCCAGACAAGTGCCTAAGTAAGTTACAATGTTGACGTGCTTCAATGTCTTCAAGAGATCAACTTCCTCGTGAAACTTCTGGTACTCCTTTTCTGTAGTGAGTTGATCTGATGTGTCCAAAACAACCTGTTTTACAGCTATTAACTGTCCCTGGCTGGTCAGACCGCAGTACACCTACAGTGAAACCAGCAATTATTAAAATGAAATGTGAAATAAAGTACTTACTTATTTTAAATAGTATTTTTGTGCTTGTCATGTTTCATGTCTCATTGTATAACCCAAGATACTGAAGTCATTTGTTGAATAGGACAACAGCCAGTTATGAGACAAAGTGTAGCTCAGCCACAACCAGCACATCTCTTAATATTCAGACAACTACTTACTGTGCCATAGGCTCCCTTTCCAAGGACTTCCCCTCTTGTCCACATGATAGGATCCTTGGTAGTTAAGCTGCTTCCTGGAAATGTAGTAGATTCATCTAAGTTTAGAAGGCCACTTTCTTCACTTGGTGCCAAAAAGGCTTTACTGCAACTCTGCTTGAAAGATGTTGGTCAGTGTGGGGAGAAAGCAGAGAGGAAATGAAAGACTTCATATTGTCCTTACAATTTTTATAAGGAATAATTTTTCCTGTCATGGCTATGCTCTATAGATTTATATATATACACAGACCCCACCCAGCCCATCCATACAGTTGCTATGCTAGGTAAGGCTAGGTAAGTAAGACAGCAATAATTCCTCCATCTAGCCAGGGATCTCTGCAGTGAGAATGGAGGTATAACTGGCACCTGTGTCTGCAGAAGGACAAGGGGGGGTGTATCAACAGGTAGTGAAAGAAATTCCCTTACAAATTTGTGATTTAAATAGCCCAAAAGCTAACAGGGCAGAGGAGGAGCAGTGCTGGTAGATAAGCACCTTGGTAGGTGACGGCTCTTAACTGACTCAGGGACCAGAATCTGAGCCTTCTGAGCTCCAAGTTCTGATTAAACATTAATTAAACATCCTTAAGTCTGCCTGATAAGCCAGTACTTGTAGTTCATACCTGTAAAAATGTCTGGTTGCACTCAGAGATTCAAGGCCATTGCCCTTTTGGGTATACAAGGACTGTTTGTAGCATCTTTTCATATTCCTTAGCTTCAAGATCTCAAGAGCTTTTGCCTTGCCCAAAACATTTTATACCTGCTCTACAACTAAAATAGCCTATTCTCTTCTTTCACAACAACTTCTCAATTTATCTTGACCCATGATATAAGCTTTGACAGCTATTCTTGTCCTGCCTTAGTACCTTCTGGCTTGTGTCCTGACATGCAGCCTCTAACATGGGTGTCTTCAACAGAGCACTGGAAGAATCAGTGGGCAGCTGGCCCAAGGAAAAGAGATTGGATCTTTAATAAACACATATCTCCTGTCTTTCATCCAAACTTGAGTGAAGCACCACTCAAAGGAGGTAGCAAGTTACAAGAAATTACTTTTACCTTCTCTAGAGCATTATTTACTATTGCTCCATCTCCACTAACCATGTTTTCTTCTTCAGCATGTGTGTTTTGCATTTTAGAACCTGTATGTTTTGTTCTTGCAGAGTTCATGTCTTTTTCTTCAAGCATTAGCAATTCTTCAGCCAGGCAACAAAGCAACTCATCAGTCACATCTTTATCTGTCCAGGACAAAGTGTTTTGACTTGTCTGGAAACTGGGGCTTTTAGTCACTGAAGGCTGACTCAATTCATTTGCCAAAATACTATTTTGGAGTGTGTTTGCCCAACTGTGATTTGATTTTTCTGTAGGGGATTGACACTCCAGTCTATCTGAAAAGGGTGATGCTTCACCCTTATTGACAGACTTGAAGGAGGCCTGGTCTGATTCCAGGCCTTTGCCACCATCCATATTCCCTCTGCACTGGGATCCACAGATGTTCTGGTCTGTTGTTAGCAGACTGCTCCTTGGAGCAACACAGTCTCTGCAGTCTTCATCACTGAGCTGAAGAAGATTCTGGCTACACGGAGCAGCTCCCTGATGGTTGGATACATCCTGTCTGTCTAAAGACTGCTCCAAAGTAACTTCTTTGATAGTTGATAAGTTTGAATTTGAAAAAATTTCATTTTGCTTAGTTGACTGAGAAAGCTCTTCTAACAACAGAAGCTGGTGATCTGTGTCTCCATGAGACAATGCCATGCTCCTTGACGTGTTTGTTTGAAAATCTGCATCAGAAGTTACCACATTATCTTGCTCTGTGTTGCTGTCACTCAACTTGGTACTTCCATCCTTTGGGATTGAACATTTCTGCTTTTGTTTAGTGCCAGGTTTTGTCTTCTTTGGCTTGGGATGTGTTTTCTTTGGAGTGTTTCTTACCCTGCTGCTCTCCCTCCCTTTGGTGCAGGTACATCTGCAGGTGCTGACAGTGCCTCTCCCTGAGGGAGCAGAACAAACACTTTTATAAAACCTGCTCTCGTGTCGCTCGAGCTCCCGCACGTGGGAATACACAGGAGTTCCAAACATTTCATAAATCCCAGGGCCTTGGTCATTTGAGTTGATTTGCTTGAACATGTCACTGTATTTCAGGTCTCCAAAATCTAAGGCAGATGGTGCGTGTGGCAGAGAAAGTGGAGTAACACTGTTCTTTAACTCAACTGAATTTTTGCAACTGCAGGAGAAACTTTGCTTTTTGAGCTTCTGAGCACTCTGAGAAAAATGGCCTTTGTCTCCTTGAGGTTTTTTTTTCTGACACTTCAGGGAAGTCTCAGATTTCACCTGTGGCAGTTCTAAAGAAGGAAAAATCTGACTCTTGGCATTATGTTTTGCGGTAATCTCATCAGAAACAATGAAGTCTTTAGACATCTTTAGCTTGTTATTAATTTTAGATTTGGATGAATATTTATTTCTATTAATCTTTCTTTTATTTTTGTCATTTTCTTTGCGAGTACCCTGAGGAGGCAGGCCATGAACACCACTCTCTTTTGGGGGGGGTTGTTTAGCAATGTGTGGTTCCCTGGCTGGCTCTTGCTCAGAGAATGTAACATGAACAGCAGGTACAAGCTCACTTTGGTCTTCTGGAGTAGCTTCTGACATTTCTTCTTTTTCCATTTCAGATTCAGAGAGACAGACACAATTTTCTGTTTGCTTTCCAGAGGGATCTTGAACTTCTACTGTGGGAATTACTGCAACTACAGAATTATCTTCTAAGGCATGGTAGGCCTCTGCCACTTCATTTTCACAGGAAGGATCTACATCATGACTGCCAAGCACAGAGTTTGCACTTTCAGCACCTTCACACGGTGCACAATCCAGCACCATCTCTGCAGCATCTCCTTCTTCTGGGCCAGTGCTGCAGCAATTCTCTGTTGCCCTTTGCTCGTTGCCAGCTCTTGAGGCATCGCTGCTGCTCGACATGGTAAATGTTGTCTGAGCTCTGCCACAGCTGACCAGAACATCACTGGAGCTCAGGTGGGGGTGACCGTCATCACAGAGCCCGGCTTGGCTCACAGGATCGGTGTTCTCACAAACCACCGAGCACTGGAACTCCACCTGCTCATTCCTGTCAGCGTGGGCACCTACGGCAGCCTCCCTCCATCCCAAATGGCTCTGAACTCCTTCTTTCTTCTTGCTGGGGTACTTAGAACAGTTCCTCATGCTGAAGCAGTACAGGTCTTCTGCTGGAGTGACTTTATCAGAAATTGTAGCCACAATCAAGTCTGATGACTTTTCACTGTGCCTTTTGAATAGATTGTCTAACTGATTATAATAAAGTTTGGTAACTGATTTTATAGGCTGAGGAATAGAGTTCATAATATTTAAAATATTTCTGATGTTGCTGCTTTCATTGACAATATCATCCTCTAGAGGAGCAAGATGAATTGTTCTTACAGGCTCACATGTCACTGGTGGCAGATGAAACTGTAATTTCCATTAAAAAAAAATTAATGATGTGCTACAACACAGATACAGGTAAAATGTAATCACTGAGAGTTTTGGGTACACTGGAAAACAGCACAGTCTGCACTTGAGTTCCAGTGAAGGTAAATGGATAAACCCAAAGGCCATTTTCATATGGCTGTTAACACAAAAGTCTGTTAGGTAGGGGATGTATTTTATTATTCCTCCCTTCTTCCTTCTTTTCCCATCACATTAGTGGAAGGTAACACCTCTCTTTGGAAGGTCTGAGAAATGGAGCACTTTGTTGTGACTGTTCAGATGAACAGTGAGAATAATTTTCTGAAAATAGTACTTCTATTCTTTATTTTATAGGAAATGAAATAAAAATAAACTTGAATATACTGTATATTTTCATGCAAATGGATGCAATAGAAACAATCACACAGTCATCTATTCAGAGTACTTATTTGCATGTCTATGTTCCACATCAGTTTGCAATCTGCAGGAAATTTTTGTTTGCATTCCAAGGGCAAACTGAGGTTGGAACATGCCAGGAAAAGTAATGTCTATCAGTTTGAAATCCACAGTTCTTAAGGCTTTGTCTGGCCTGTGGGGCATTAATACGAATGCTCAGTTTATCCCAAATGATATGGCTTTAGAATCATCAGAGCCCAAGCCATGAAACAAAGCTGTGTTAAATCACGCTGGGGGCAGCTAAATTATTTTGCTTAAATATTTCCATCCATTTAAAATGTGTTTTTTTTCCCATAACCCTTTTTATGATCCTGTATCAGATCTCTTCTATACTTTTCTCTTTTTCTTGTGAACGCCGCTGTATCCTGCAGTGGCTTCACTGAAGTTTACAGCTGATTCAATGAGTCCTTTGTACAAAGGACTATTGATTTATATCCATAGAGGCCAAATTCTCTTTTTTCTAAAAAACCTATATTTGACCTTTTGTAACTTTTAAGGCTTACATGGTGTGAAGCACTGATACATGTAAAATTGTGAGCTTGTTTCTAAGTACAACTGTTATGTCCAAAAATCCCATTTGCACTTATCACAAAATTTCATTTAAAATATGTTTAATTCTAAGAGATTATTTATTATTTGTTAATAAAATCAATTTCAGTAATCATCTAATAGCAAGACTGTTTTAAAATTCAGCTTCAATTTTAAATTACCACTCAATATAAGAAAATTGTTTGGGCTTTTTTTAAATTTGGCAAAACTAGACATCTAATATTTTTAACATATAGGATGTTCATATGTTAAATTAAATTACATATTTCTATTCCAAATTTCTATTTTAAGAGGTTTTGTATCTTTTTGAACTTTCAACCTTTTACCTCCAAAAATCCCTGATGTATTGTCTTACTGGCATTTCAGGATTTGCTGATACACACGCACATATATACTAAATAAATGTAAAAATAAATGTAAAAATACCTTCTTAAAAAAAAGCCCACCTGAGACTAAGAAAACTACCTACATGACTTCTGTATTTCTATTTTTAAGATTTTGAAAGGATAGAATACTTTTAACAGTGATTATACCTAATACCATCTTACCTCAGATCTCTTGTTCCTGGTTTTTAGCATTGTTATATTTAACCCTTAAAAATCAAAATAAATGAAATGTTAATCTGATATTCTTAAACATGCTACAATTCTCATTTATAAATTCATTTCAAATTGTGATGTTCAGGGGACCAAGAATCTGTCAGATGGGTGGTCTCAGGACTATGATACAAATCTGCAGTGCAGAAAATGTTGTAGGTTGAAATTTCATCGTGATACTGAACTTCACAATTCAATTTTCTAAGGAAAAGGATAAAATATTATACTTCTAAAATATTTTGACATTAATAATTTAAGCAAATCCTTCACAATTTTAGATGTTTGCTAACTAGAGTATGCAGCTAATTAATATTGCCAGTGTGAGGGAAAAGTGAAAGAGATGGCACCACGGTCCCACTCCAGGTACAGAAAGTTAAATTTACATTTTTTGGGCTCAGTTTCGTTATACAGAGTAACAAGAATGGTGAAGCTTGCCATTGCTTCTCTTTAGCTCCTTCATTCTGCAATACATAACATTAAAGAAGTTATCATTAACTTCACACATGGCTGAAGTCTATGTGAAGAAGTCAAACAGACATAAAGACAACTTTAAAGTTTAAAGAAAAAGGACTTCTAAGGCTTTGCCATCTCATATGATAACTAATATATAACTTCATATAAAATTTGTGACTTTTAAACTGAACTTACTTTGTTGTGTTTGTGCTTTTATTATCTGAAAAGTATCTAAATCCACGAATGACTTTAAAATGTTGTATTCTGGGCATGAGGTCCGTAGCAGAAAGCTGAAGTCAAAGGCATATCCCATGTTGTCTTTCTTTGGGAAGAAAGATAAAGAAGTGGGATGTCTCCTCTGGAATGCAAACAGATTTTTACTTGGAAAACTCGTCACTTGTTGGTCTGGCCATGGTCTGGATGTTGATGTTGTTTGGCTGAAAGGCAAAAACAAAAACCAAAATACAGAGTGAAAATAAGTGGAAGGAGCAGCTCAAATAGTCATATGACTGGAGAACAATGGGAACAAGGAGTTTTTTAAATCCAAAAATGCCAAAGTATCTTTTCTTTCTTTATCTGGGAAGTTGTGCCTCTCCCTGGAAGCATCTGATTGCAAAGCCAGAGACTGACTACAAGTGAGAATGAATGACAGACAGTGTTAACCAAGCAACAGCAGGAATTGAAAAACATATTGTTCACCTTCTCCTTCTTGACAAAAACTTATTGCTTCCAGATTGTATTTTTAATGACTCATCAGCAATGTGTGTCAGAAGAATTCTGAGGCCCAGATGTGCCCTTGTTACTTAAAAAATATGCTCTGGCCTGCCTGAAAGAAGAGAGGCTGTGCAGACAAGCCTCAGATTCCTGCCACCTGTTTTCTGAAGAATGAAAAATATGGAGAAAGATAAATATTGTTGCTGAAAAGAGGTACAAAAATACAGCCTAAGTTTATCTTAAAGCTGTATGCAATTGTCTGGTTTTAATAAGTCAAATTCTGATGTAAAACCATATCCCATATTTTTCCATATTCTACCAAATAATTTGTCCATCTAATGCAATATCCTGCCTCCAGCAGTGGCCAACAATTGCCATTGGGAAGAGATAAACACCACACAACATATAAAGCTGAATATAATGTCTGGCACTTAAGAAATATTTCCTTACTCACAGACTACTACCTGCTTTGTCTTCATTTGTGCACACTCAACTGCAAATTAAACAGTAATATGATTAACCTGTTTTTTCCTAGAGCTTTGTATGACTGATGCATTTCTTCCATTGTCTTATCTGCATCCTGAAGAGCAGCAACACTTCCACAACCTGCAACAGTACATCAGTATTTGCACAAAAGCAGTTTAATTCACTGAGCAGTAACACATTGTAAACATGGTGGGTTTTGGGCATTCAAATATTATTATAAAGAAGTACATTAAGTAGCTATCAGGAAAAAAAAATAAGAGTATGTTACATTTGACTAATTTTTTTTTAAATGTGAATGCATAACTGATTTATTTTTAGTTATTTGGTAAGTGTAGTAATTCAATGGACTATAAAAGCAAAGAACATCTGAAGATAATTCCAGTTACAGCACCTAGATCAGTAGAACAGAAGTAGAAAAGAAATATTGACAGAAACTCTGCAGAAGTAGAGCATTTAAAAATATGAAAACCAAACAAATCTCAAGGCTTTACAAAGGTGGAAAGTAACTCTGAGTTTGATTTGATATTTTACTATGGTTGCTTAGTTTTGACAAACATCCAGATTTTAAGTTATTATTGTACTTTTCCTTCTTCAGATCCCTCATCTTACACTTTATACACATAAACTTTGGTCAGACTACCTTTTTTGCTTCTCCTCTTATTTTGTTGGTTGTCAGACATACTGTCCTTAAATGTATTAAGGTCCAGAAACCTGAAAAGAACAGTTTGTTAATTGATTTCCGATTCACATGTACAAAGCAGTAATTTATATTTCATTATTCCAGAGCCATCAGTAAGACAAAAACATTTTAAAAGTACCTGAAATTATTAAAAATCCAAGAGTCACTACCTGAGGTTGTTGGCCTGTTAACTTATTAGTAGCAAACTTTTGTTTTCACTTCAAACTATTGCATTGTCAGAAATAGTATCTTAACCATGAGTGTACTTTTCTGTGAGCATCTTTATGTATGTTTAGAAAAACATATTACTCAAAAATGTACTGTGTTTATAAAACCAAAACCCCTTGAAATTTGCATTAAATTAGTGCTAAAAACATTTGTTAGATAATTCCTGGTTGTTGAAAGAGCTGATCTCAGGAAATTAAAACAGCAAGTATTTTCTCTTTTCATACATTTATTTTCTACAACATATGTTAAGCCAATAAAACAACACAAAACAATCTCAAAGTGCAGACTCTTAAAGAAGAAACATGAGAGGGTTAAGTAGAAGGATTTGAAGTTTTGAAATTCTAGACAGCTAGTTCTTAAAATAAAATTAATCTCAGTTAATAGTTTTGATGGATTTGGGACTCTTTCAAAAAAACATACTGAACTTCAGTTTCTCAAGTGACAAGAACACCTAAGGTAATTAAAGACAGTGGATTAAAATGAATAAAAGAAAAAACAATCACAAATATTAGTTCATATCTGTATTAAAATGTTTACCAATGTCTTTACTGTTTAATAAATAATTTATACTAAAAAAAGATAAGATATTGTACATGAAATAAATAATATTGTCAGATATATAATATGTCTGAATGTACATGAATTAATATATATTTAAACATTTATGAATAACAGTGTCAAATTATTACATTGGGTACCTCTGGGTGCTAGAAAGTAATTAAGTTCTTTAATGTGCATGGCAGGCTAAAAGAAAGGTATTTTAAAGTTATGTTGATATTTATTGAATTCACAAGTAGAACTGTAAAAATAGGACACCTAGAGGTTCCTATGTTGCTAATTTCTTTATGAAATTATATTTTCTCTCTGCTCTTTTCCTCAAGTTAGTGATGGAAAGTAACAATCTTTGTACCTGTCTCTTCATTTCAAAGTTACTACAGAGGTCACTGGAAATGAAGGGCCTACGTGAATTTTGTTGGATAGTAGCATATTGCCACTCAATATTGCTAGTCAGGGAAAGAATTAGGCTTTTGTTACTGATTCTATCAGCAAAAAAAAATATAATTATTTGGAAACATGTAGCAGCCTTCCCAACAGACTAGTGCATTTTGCTATATGAGTTTTTTACAATAATTTTATATGACATCTGAGAAATGTGTGCTATTTTATAACTATATACAGCCAGACATCAGACAGTTCTATCATTCTTGGTTTACAGCAGAGGAAACAAAGAAAAATGGAATGACCTATAGCTACCTTTGACTATCATCAAGATCATCCAATGAACTGTGCAAAAGTAGCTTAGAAGCACTCTTGATTTCTCATTTCTATGGATAATCCATCAAAATGTTCGTCCTGTTATATTAGTCTAGTAAAAGTCAGATGGTGAACTTCTCCAAACTCTGCACTTTTTTTGGATACACAAAACCCACTTCAAAATAATAACTGAGGAGGTTCTGTAAAAAGGCACAAACAAATCTTACCTGGTGCTTCAGTAGCAAAGAGCGAAAGAGGCACAGCAACCTAAAGAGAAGTTACAAAGCATTTTCAGCTCACAGCCGCCTTCCTTTGCTGGCCAGCGAGGAATTCAACATAGATTACACACTTTTGGATTCGATTTTCGGCGTCTTTTCCTGACTGCGGAGCTCACAGGCACTTCTTTCTGCAGGCAGCTCCTACGACACGGGGCTGTTGAGTTTACACGATGTTGCCGAGGTAACCTCTCCGGGGGGTATTTTACTTGGAGGAGTTTAATTCAAAGAGCAGCAGTGACCTGTGAAAACAAACACGGCCGAGCTAAGCGGTGTCGCCCTTTAAGCTCTAATCGCAGGGCAGCTCTCCCAGCACGCAAAACAAAACCCTACTCCTCTCTTCTGTTTGTCTTTTTTTTTTAATGTTTTTAATACTTTATCTGTTCCTACATCATTTTAAATTCGCATTCAGTCCCTCACCTCGACGCTCCCCGTTACTCTTGAGTATTTTTAATCTCGTTTCTGGCAGCCGTAAACAGAAGATTTAAAGGATATTTCTTCTTTTTTTTAAAAGTAGCAGACTGTTAAGAGGGAAGAAAGGATAAAAAAGGTACGGTGGGGCTCAGGCTGAGCTGAAAGGGTGTTTGAGATGGTTTGCTGGATGCCAGAAGCACTTGGCCGCCGTCCTCCGGGACACGGCTGCGGGGAGGCACAAGCGAGGGGGCGGCTTTGGACTAGGCGGGAGCAGGGACACGAGCCCTGGGGACAGCAGCCCTGGGAACAGCAG